CCAACCGATAATTTACCGCAATGAAACCGCAATCGCGGTAAACCGAACCGCATTTGCGGTATTAAGAACCGAACCGCATTTGCGGTTGCGGTTGCGGTATTTGATTTTCAAAACTTGCAGTTACCACAAACCGCAAAGTATAGCCGCACGGATGATGAAGTTGAATTCTACAAGGAAATGGAACATATGACAACTTGTAAGTAATTAGTTTATTTATGCTAATGTTATTTATGCTTCTTCTTATAATAAAATGTACTAAACTATGTTGTTTTATTTGTAGATAACATTGGTGCTCAAACAACACAACGGGGTTCTTCAAATCCACTCACCACCAACACTTGAGTTTGTAACTTTAGTTTGTAACATTGGTGCATTGCATTTTCCTTTCAGTTTGTAACTTTAATTAACTTTGAATTGAATTTTTCTTTTTGGTTGTAACTTTAATTCATTTTGCTTTGCATTATACTTTTGGTTTGTAACTTTAAAGGATTTGGAATTGGAATGCTTGAGAAATTTAACTTTAATTGGAATGCTTGGAATTGTAACTTTAATTTTCTTAGGTTGTGAATGCTTGAGAAGTTGAGGAGATTGTGAATTTATATATGCTTGAGAAATTGAGGTTGTGTATTTATTTATTTAGGTTGTGAATTTATATTTTTGTGAATGCTAATTCAAGATGTTGAATAATCAATATGATCTTATAATTAACTTTATCCAATATTATATTTACATTATTGAGATCCTCGAATCGCACCAATATTTCAATCAAAAGTAAAGTGAAAAAGAAAAAAAGGCATATGAAATACCTTTAAATTTGCAAAAACAGAAGAAAAATTGCAAAAAGAAATGTGAGATACCCGTGGTCCATGTCCATCGCACCAATGCTAGTCTTGTTCCCTATCGTGCGTCACAATCATGACGTCACTATGATTATGTCGCAAACCTGGTCACCTTGAGGCATGCTTCATCAACGCGTTCGAGTTTTCAACCTTTGCCGACAAAAGCGCGTCCTGGTTATAAGAGTATCCACAGTTGGATGGTGTAAATTTGGGGTTGTAAAACCACTTTTACATCCCCTTTACACATCCGAATGATGTAAATATGTTTTTTGCTCTAGTGGTGGGGTGTAAATTTGGGGGTGTAGCCGTGGGTCCCAGCCTTTTATGTTGACTTTTCTTCATTTTTATTTTCTTTTCTCGAGTAGGTCCCGCTTGTAAGGGAAGTAAAAATAGATGTAAATATACATTTTATTTTACATCCTTTTACATCTCCCTATTAGAAATGATTCCGGTGACTTGGGGTGTATATTTAACATACACCCCCCCCACTGTGGATGCTCTAAGGAGAAGAAAATCTTCAGTAAACTTTTTGACTTTTATGAAATGGTGTCATAATATTTACGCATTTGTCTCTTTGTTCATATGACATAATTACGCGAATGAAAATATAGAAGACAAAAGCAATTACGAGACAGGTTCACAAACATTTTTTCTTTGTAGTTTAGGTAGGCGAGAAGAAAGACACGTCTGATCTTAGAATTTCCAGAACATTTAATTCCAACAATTTTGTATCAAAATTGATTAAAATATGAATAAAAATTAAAAAAAAAACTAAAAAATTAAAATTAAGCTCTCTCCCCCTCTATCCCAATTTCAACTCCTCCTAAACTTAATTTCTTTTTTGTTGGTTTTTTATTTTATTGTTATTTTAAAGATATGATTTTATATTCATTTTTTTTTTAATATAAAAATACCATTTTGCCCCTACATTTAACAGAAAAAGTTAACAAAATTGACGGCAAGACCATTTGTCCAAACAAAACTAAAATTAAAGGACCACGGAAACCATTTTGGAAATTAATATACTCAAATGCAAATCGGGTCAAAGTTCATGGACTAATAAAACGATTAACCCAATATATGATATATTTGTTACGTCCAAAATTGTAACTCTTGCTTGCTGCCCTAGCTAGCATATGTAGTTTTGTTTTGGTTTTGCAATGTTTAAAGAAAGTGATTGATATTTGTAGTGAAATGTTTCCACTTAGTCAAGCAGAATGCACAACATCTATGTCTCAAAAATCTAATTGCGGTTTCTTAATCCGCCCAACAATTTGGTATGTGAAATAATCTGATTGGGCAATCTCCACATTATCCACTTCATTCTCCTCCTGGGCCTACATAAGGTTGTAAAATCTGAACAAAGAATGAACAAGAAGGGAAAACAAACAAGAATAGCTAGGGACAAAGCTCGATAGATGAAAAGGTTATTGACTAGAATAGCTAACTATATGCTTGTCACTAGCATTTGCATGGCAGCTCTACACCGTATGGCTACTCGTACGACTAGGAATCTGATGACTCTAGGACTCCTTAAAGCAAAGAAAACTTAAGAGTTTCTGTTCCCATGATTTTATCTCTACACGAATACGATAATTTGAAAAGCACAACATTTGCTAGGTTAAAGTATTTTACGTCTTGAGAGGAGTATAATTTTCATAATAGGCTTTGTTATTTCAGTGTAGAGATCAAATTGTATGGGTGTAAATTAAAAAGCCCACTAAGTTAATTGACAAATAATGGGTGTGATCCATTTACTGGTACAGAGTCTTAAACTCCATAGCTAGGAGGATCTCCTTGATTGGTAGCATCAAAGCAATTGTGTATTATATTATAAGTCTTAAGGAGTCAAGCAATGCTGTTTCGGCTTTAATTTCTCAAGGAGATTATGTGTCATATGCTTGGTAGATTATGTGTCAATTTCTCAAGGGCTCAACTTAAAGTTTTATAAGTGGCATCTAGATTTTTGGTAGGATCATGGTGGACCAACATGGCAACATATATTATTAACATGTTTGATTTTGATGCTACTAATTTATGATGATAACGTTTGGCGGGTTTAAAAGTTGATGTGCTCTCAATCATACCTTTTAAAAGTTGATGTGCTGATTTTTTTTGTTTTGGTCTAATAGTTTAGTTTGGTTTGGGCACTCTCCAAACTGGTAAGCAATGTAAATTATGTAAATTTGGTTTGAGCAGTTTTTCGACCACCCATATCTCAAAAATTTAGACAGCGCATGATGGAGCTTGAGACATCTCATTCCGATTGTTCGACTTAGATAATTGCAAATTAAAATAAATAAATAAAAGTTGTAAGTCGAATCTTCTTTCCTCAATTAACATAGAAATAAATTACTAAAACTAAAATAAGCACTTTGTCCACAACCTGGACCAACCTTAGTTGTCTTAGAGAATAGGCCAGTGTATTTTTTATTTTGTTCGGAATCGAGTTTTATGAAATAAAATGTCAAAGTTAGATTACATCAAAATGAACTCAAATAATTAAGTTCACATAAAATGCAATACAAACAAACAAACATAGAACTCACTACATATAAAACTAACAAAATACACATAAAGCACACATAACGGCATTAAGAGCCCACATAATGGCAAAAAGCCTACAAAGGCAAATGCCCACAAAACACAACACAATATTAGGAAACCCTAACACCAATAACAGGTATGTGCCGCACAATCCAATAGCCACAAGCTGCGCCACCAAAGCAAGCCGACAACCACCAAAGAAAAACCAATAACCAACAGAAAATGGTAATGAACAAACACCGAAGCTACATCAATAGGCCAGTGTATTTAGCTAACCCCAAAAGAAAAATTCAATAGACCTTACAAAAACCCAATATACAATGCATCGACCTTTCAAACAAAGAATAAAAAAATAAAATTCATATAATTCAGAAGCAAAAGTTTGTGCTGCCACTCCCATTATCCCATATGCCGGCCCTTTTCTTTCTTTCGGTGTGTGAATGCTTTAATTTTTGCCCACCGTTCACTTCTCTTTTTCCATCTCTGATTGTTCCCTGGGTTTTGTCAATGCTTTTCTTAGTCGAGATCAAGAAAGAGTTGGATGGCTTGAAAGTTTGAATGCTTGGACAATTCCCCTCTACTTCTACTTTTTCTTTTTTTCCTTTTCGTAATTTCCATTGTTTTTCCATTCTGCTTTTAGTACAATTGCTAAAATATAATATAGCCATGAGCTCTACCACTCTTTTCTAGATCTCATCTCATCCTTGAATTGATCCTCAGGTGCAAAGTTTTCTAAATTTCTTTCTTAATATTTGTTGATAAGGGATTAATATCTCGGCAGCTTCTTTCTTGATCTGGAGTAGACTAATACTTTGACATCGAAAAATACAAAAAAAGTGATGTTTTGATGCATTTTATAAAGTTGTTATGTGAATTACATTTTATTTGTTTATTTTTATGTTACAATTGTGACTCTGAGTTTTTTTCACTCCCATGTGCCCTTTCCTTTGTTCAGTGTATGAATGCTTTTATTTTTGTCCACCGACAGTGCTTGCCTAATTATTTCACTTGTCTTTTTCCTGGATCGTTTTGTAGCAATTGTTTTGTAGCTTCGTGAATCGTGCATACGCGTCAACTAGAGCAATTGCTTTCGACATTTGATTATAATGTGGATTTCTTTTTCTTTTTTGCTTTCATGGGGCACACTTCACGCGGGAGGAATAGAATCCTCCATCCAGTAGGAAAAATAATAAAATCCTCCACTAGGAAACTCTACTTCACTTTACTTTTTTATCAAGCCTCCTTCATTTTACTTTTTTATCTTTTAATCTCTATTGATTTTCCTCCATCGTTTGTGCTTTTTTATCTTCAAAAGCAAAAGTTTGTAGGTAAAGCGTGTAAGGTGGGTCCCATTTGCCCTTTCCTTTCTTCAGTGTATGAACGCTTGAATTTTTGTTCACGTACAGTGCTTGCCTAATTATTTCACCTGGATCGTTTTGTAGCAATTGTTTTGTAAAGCAACTGCTTTCTATTCTCTTTCTTTCTAAACTGCTTAATTTAATTAAACCCTCAGGTCCATCATCTACAATATCAGATTATCTTTCTTCTTCAAGTTTTCATCTCAAGTATCAGATTGCTTTAATTTTAGCTCCTGGTGCATTCAGAGAAACAGATATGGACTCCACTTCTTCTGTTGCTGCTGTTGATACTGATATCCCCCCTCTTCAAGAAAAGTACGATGTGTTTCTTAGTTTCAGAGGTCCGAACACACACGATGCTTTTACCAGCCATCTTCACAAGGCTTTACTTGGGAAGAACATTGACACTTACATAGATAACAGACTTGAGAAAGGAGATGACATTGGACCTACCCTTCTAGAAGCAACCGAGAAATCGAAACTTGCACTAGTCATTTTCTCAAAAGACTGTGCTTCTTCCACATGGTGTTTGAAAGAACTTGTGCATATGCTAGGATGCAAGAAAAGAAATAAACAAATTGTTATACCCATTTTTTATCGCATAGATCCATCACATGTACGAAAACAACAGGGAACTTATGCACTTGAAGATCGTCCACTTAAGAGCAGTAAGGATGAGGTGGCCAACTGGAGGGTTACTTTACCTTCGTGGGAGGTAATCTAGTCACTTGGAGAAGTAAAAAACAAAATGTGGTTTCTCGGTCTAGTGCAAAAGCAGAGTATCGAGGAATGGCTCACGGAGTTTGTGAACTACTGTGAATCAGAAAACTATTGACAATTGGGTTTCAAGCCAGGAAAACCAATGGAGTTACATTGTGATAACAAGTTAGCCATTGACATTGCCCATAATCCAGTTCAACATGATCGAATCAAACATGTTAAAGTGGATAGACACATTTTATCAAAGAGAAGATTGAGAAGAAGATCATCCGCCTACCATTCGTAAAATCAGAAGATTAATTGGTAGATATCTTAACAAAAACTGTTTGTGGCAGAGTATTTCATGACTCACTTACCAAGTTGGACATTGGTGACATATATGCACCAACTTGAGGAGGAGTGTTGACGTGAGTCTCCTAATTAATCAAGGAAATTTATTTCTTTGATTAATTAAGGGATTTACTTTCCCATTTTATTTAGTTGACAAATCTTTGTATAATTAGGAGATATTATCCTAATTTATTACTGTATCTATTTGCTTGTAAAGCACTCATGTAACCTCCTATATATACCTCCTTATGGAGAAGAATATAATTCAACTTAATACATTCAAACCATATTCATATTTTAGCAAATAGTAACAACCATTGCCTTGCCCTTGCCCTTTGCCATGGAAAATGGATCGAAGTGGGTCCATTGTGCTGCCACTCCCAGGGTTTAGGGTATTTGTGCCCTTTCCTTTCTTCAGTGTATTTGTGCTGCCACTCCCATGTGCCTTTTCCTTTCTTCAGTGTATGAGTGCTCGAATTTCCTTCATTTTCGTGGATCGAATTTCCTTCTTTTTCTTAGTCAAGTCACGTCAACTAGAACAATTGCTTTTCTCTTTTTCTTTGCTAACAATTAGAGCAATTGCTTTATATTCTCTTTCTTTCGAAACTGCTTAATTGGATCCTCAGGTGCAACTTAATTAAACCCATCCATCATCTACAATATCATATTATCTTTCTTCTTCAAGTTGTCATCTCAAATATCAGATTTACTTTAATTATAGCTCTAGTGCATTCAGAGAAACAGATATGGACTCCATTGAGTTCTTTCAAGTTTTCATCATAATCATCATACTCATCATGACTCTGTTCTACATCTACTTCAGATCATTAACATCTACTTCTTCTTCTGCTGCTGCTGCTGCTGATACTGACATCCCCCATCTTCAAGAAAAGTATGATGTGTTTATTAGTTTCAGAGGTGAGGACACACGTGATACTTTTACTAGCCATCTTCACGCGGCTTTGCGTCGGAAGAACATTGAGACCTACATAGATAACAGACTTGAGAAAGGAGACGACATTAGACCTACCCTTGTAGAAGCAATCGAGAAATCGAAAATTGCACTAGTCATTTTCTCAAAAGACTATGCTTCTTCCACATGGTGTTTGAAAGAACTTGTGCATATACTTGGATGCAAGAAAAGCCATGGACAGATTGTTATACCCATTTTTTATCGCATAGATCCATCAGATGTACGAAAACAGCAGGGAACTTATGCACTTAAGAAACGTTTTAAGGGCAGTAGGGATGAGGTGGCCAACTGGAAGGCTGCTTTGGAGGAAGCAGCCAATATTTATGGGTTTCATGATTCAAGCAAAACAAGGTATACTAAATCTCTATCTTGTATCTGTTTCTACTTGTTAATATCATTTGATGCGTACTTACTATTGTTTGTCTTTCATAATGATATTTGACAGGACAGAGGCCGATTTTGTTGAGAAAGTTGTTCAAGATGTTTTGACCAAATTGAATCATGAATCGTCAAATGATTTAAGAGGCCTAGTTGGAATTGAAAGCAAAATTGAGAAAATTGAGTCGTTATTGTGCTTGGATTCACCAGGTGTTTGCTGTATGGGTATTTGGGGCATGGGTGGTATTGGCAAGACCACCCTTGTTGAGGCTGTATTTCACAGGCACTCCTCAAAATTTGAAGCTTATTGTTTTCTTGCAAATGTTAGGGAGAAATCAGAACAAACGGGTGGATTAAATCAGTTGCTAAATGAACTTGTTCGTGAGATATTAAAGGATAAAGATATAAACATCGGCACTCTGTCTATAGGACCAACTTCTATTCGAGATAGGCTCATGCGTACAAAGGCGCTCATTGTTCTTGATGATGTGAATGCTTCAAACCAACTAGAAGTTCTTGTTGGTGACCATGATCGGTTTCACGACGGAAGTCGAATCATTATAACTGCTAGAGATAAAGGAGTACTTGAGCAAAAAGTTGACAATGATAAGATATACAAGGTTGAGGGATTACGGTCGGATGAAGCTCTTCAGCTTTTTCATTCCCATGCTTTGAGAAATAAGTCTCCAACAAAAGATTATAATAAGTTTTCAAGAAAGGTGATAGATTATAGTAAGGGCATTCCCTTAGCTCTTAAAGTTATGGGGTCCTTATTCCTTGGTTGCAAGAGAAAACAAGAGTGGAAAGATCAAATGAACAAATTGAAACGATTTCCAAGCGAAGAAATCAATAAAGTGTTGAGAGTAAGTTACGATGGATTAGAAGAAAATGAGAAGGAGATATTTCTTGATATAGCATGTTTTCATAAAGGCAATAACTCAAATTATGTAAAAGTGTTATTAGATAGTCATGGTTTCTGTGGGGAAATCGGAATCAAAGTTCTCATTGATAGGTCTCTCATATCAATTTCAAAACGCAAGTCCATAGAGATGCATGATTTGGTGCAAGAAATGGGTAGGGCAATTGCTCGCGAACAATGTATTGAAGAACCCGGAAAACGCAGTAGGTTGTTCAGTGCAAAGGATGTCTATCAAGTATTGACAAATAACCAGGTACGTAATTTATGTTATATTCACATTTACAATAAACAAGTTACAAATGTAATTTTGATTAAACATTTTGTATATTAGTTCACCTTTATACTTTGCTCTCGATTATCAGATAGCTGCAACTGTTCGAGCCATATCCTTTAACTGTTCTAAGATTGAAAAGCGAAACTTGAATCATGCAAACTTTGAAAAGATGTGTCAACTGAGATGGCTACATGTCTGGCATTCTAAGTTTTCCAAGAAGTTCACATTAATGGTTTCTCTTGATCTTCCCAATTCTCTTAGTTATCTTCACTGGCACAAATATCCTTCAAAATCTTTACCATCAAAATTTTCTCCTGTAAATCTTGTTGAGCTTCATCTGCCGTCCAGCCAGGTTGGGGCGCAACTTTGGACTAAAGACCAGGTATACATGATTATTTTAGTTCTTGTATAACATGTGCCCTAGAAAGTAATAATCTACAAGCTAAGTTATTAATTCTTGTTTAATTTGTTACAGACTCCTTTGAACTTAAAATGGATCAGTCTTCGTGAATGCGAACATCTAACTGAAGTCCCAGATCTCTCTCAGAGTGTAAAAATTAAGCATATAGATCTGTTTGGCTGTGAACGTTTGGTTGAAATTCCTTCGTATTTTCAACATCTTGGCAACCTTACTTATCTTAACCTTGGGGGCTGCAAAAATCTCAAAAATCTTCCCGAGATGCCATGCAGTCTTGAATTCTTAAATTTATCTCGGACATCAATAGAGGAATTACCTTCATCAGTTTGGTCTCACAAAAAAATATCACACTTAGATATTAGATATTGTGAACACCTTACGAGTCTTCCAAGCAACACTTGTAAGCTGAAACTCTCGAGTTTGTCGTTGGTATCACTGCAATTACACTGATTAATTGCAAAAACCTTGTGAGTCTCCCAACAAACATTTGGAAGTTGAAATCTCTAAAGAGCCTTGATCTCAGTTTGTGCTCCAAATTTCAAAACTTCCCGGAAATCTCGGAGGCTATGGAACATCTAAAGTTTCTAAATTTAACAGGTACAGCAGTTAAAGAGCTACCCCCATCAATTGGAAATCTAGTTGCGCTTCGAGAATTAGATCTCCACAAGTGCAAGAACCTTGAGGTTATCCCTGATGACCTCTTTTGCATAACCTCGTTACAAAAGCTAAATCTGAGTTGCACCAAAATTAAGAGTTTACCTGCAAGCATCAAACAAGCTGCTCGGTTGTCTTACCTATGCCTCATCGGTTGCAAGAGCCTTGAATCTTTACCAGAGCTCCCCAATTGCTGCAATGTCTTGAAGCACATGGTTGCACGTCACTGAAGACAGTGTCAAGTTCAAGCACGGCACTCACACCAGGTTGGAAAGAATATATATTATCTCGAGTGTTGAAAGTTATATTTTCTGATTGCCCAAGGTTGGATCATAATGCACGAAGCAACATAATGGCTGATGTACGACTCAGAATTATGTGAATGGCAACTGCGTCGTCAAAGTTATAAAAAGAAAAAAAAAGAAACAAGTATATGGTTCATATCATTTCTATGATGATTTTTTTGAGCTTTCTCTCTCTCTCTCTCTCTCTCTCTCTCTCTCTCTCTCTCCCTCTCTCTCTCCTGTCTGTCTAACTCACTTATGTTGAAGAAGTTGCTCCTTTTTTTTCACGACTTTAATAGCTATGATATCAATTGTACAGGATTCTTTCGGTGCCATTAGATGTTCTGGGAATGAAATTCCTAATTGGTTCATCCATAAAAGTGAGGGATGTTCAATAAAGATTGAGCTTTCTCGTGGTTGGTAAATCTCTTGTTGTTGTCAATGCTCCATGAAATATGAAGATTGGATGCACGTACAACTTCAAAACTAGTAATGGTGAAAAAGTGTGGGATATGTTTGTTGTATGGCAAAAGATGCTGAGATCATAAAGGAGAGGGCTTTGTAGATCAAGCGGTTATGAATGTTTATTTTTAAGTTCAATTTATTAATATTATTATTATTTATTGTTTTGAGGTGCAATATCATTTTTATTTGAAGTGTTTGGAAGACTTGTGACTGAGGATGCCCATGGTGCTTTTGAGTTGCAAGATAAGTTCATGTCATCCTCATCCTCCTTTTATGTATTTTCTCGCTATCATGACTTTGGTTTTTTAAAATAAGAGTGGCAAAAATGAAAGCGTGCCCAGTGGACATGAGAAAAGCTGTGATACGCCGTTGTTTCGGAGTCGGACTCTCCTTTTGGCTTTTACAGAGAAAGAAGCGATTGAGACAATGGATGTAGATCCGAATGATGCCGCGTCATTTCTTCAATGTCAGTGTTTGGACCCGACCGGAACATAAACAGGGTTCCTGTCAATCCTCCCTACTTGGAGCAATTCCCCTATTGAGCACAGCCCAATAAGCCATACTGTTCTCCCTCCCTTGTACCAAAAGAACTTGAAAAGGCAATTGCAAACAAATTTGAACTCCACCAAATTTTTTCCTTTCTCTAAGTCCATGTTTTTTTAGATAATACTTTTACTCACTACGATGAGTAATGAACATCATCATCATATTAAATAAAGGTAAATGAATGTAATTTAATCTACATAATACATAAATCTAAAAAATTAAATTCATAACCCGGAACCCGGGAAATTAGCTGATAAAAATACTTTTACTTACTACCGAGAGTCAATTCGCCAAAATACCTATATAATCCATTTATTAAACGGGTCATGTTCAAAAAACTTGAAATTTCTGCCCCCGCAAACTCAGAAGTTTTATCTCCACACTCTCGTATCATAATTTGAAAAGTACAACATTTGCTAGCTCAAGTATTTTAGAACATCTTTAAGAGGAGTATAATTGTCATAATGGTTTTTGTTACTCGGGTGTAGAGATCAAATTTTGTGGATGTGAAATAGAAGCCCACTAAGCTAATGGATAGATAAATAGGATGGAGCGAATTGCGATCAATTCCTGGTACACAGTGCTTTGTTGTGCTCAATTTTCCAACTTGAACTCCATAGCTAGGCCTAGGATCTCCTTCTGATTGGTAACAACATCATAGCAATATTGTGTGTAATTTATCAAGGGCTCAACTTAAAAGTGTTATAAGTGACATCTAGATTTTTGGTAGGATCATGTTGTGGAACAAAATAGCAACATATATTGACATTTGTGATTTGATGCTACTAATTTACGATGATAAAGTTTTGGTGGGTTAAAAAGTTCAGTGCTCAATCACACTCTTTGAAAGAAGGGCATATTAACCAGAACAAGTCCAGCTCACCACTTCATGTTTCCTCCACATGACCGACATATTGGAAATGTTAATGCTAATAGTCACATAAATGCATCATACCCTACAGCAACAACATGATCATTCATCATCTTCTTGTGCTAGGTGTACGCTTACGACCACAAACTCTCTTTTTATTATTATTATTATTATTTTTAATACAAGTAATGTATGAGAAAGAGAAAATTGAGCTTAGGACTTCGAATACAGTACAAAGGTAGATACTATTAACCACTTGAGCTTCAAGAAACTTACCGATCAGGGACCGCAAACTTTCATATAAGCTTCTTTCTATTTTTTCTATGCTTGGTTTCTTTGGTGTGTTGTGTAGCAATTTAAGTGATGTCCTTTTCCTTAGGCCACATTGTATACAACTCACTATACGTACACGTCCGTGGATTACTCGCACTGAGAAGAGTTGCTTCTTTCATGTTCACATGGCTTGCGTTTGGAAAAGCATACCAACAAAAGCTTGAGTTCTCTGCATCACAAGCCTCTTTCTCTCATGATGTTTTATTTGAAATATAAAGCATAATTAATTCATTGTGCCACGCGTCTGCGACTTAAAATTCAATCTCGGGCCCTAAACTCTGTAATATTCCTACTGAAATAAGTTGTTCTAACTTTCTAGTTGTGGTGGTTATTAATATAAATGACAAGATACAAGCAATAGACACATAATTGTATACAGCCGATTATAAACAAAAAGAACTACTAATCAGTCGTACATAAATAATTACGAGAGAGAAAGGGATATCTATAGACTATAATGTTTGTGGTTGGATTATAGCTAGTTTCCAGGCCCGCTCATGCACTACATAAACTGCATTTTGTAGAAGGAAACCACCAAATCTTAGACCATTGTATTAATGTCTCCGTCATTCGCCAACGTTGATGGTTCCATAATGGTTTTATGACAAATTTGTGAACATGACATCATGAAAGCAATGCAGTCGAGCTGTATCGTGGATCTTGAATGGATTGGCATCAATTTTATATGCAGAAGAGTAAAAGATATTTGCTGAATTGAACTCTCAAGGCTGAGTCATTCTGGGAAAATTACAAGCCTCTTAAAACCACAAATATATGCAAACCATCTCTATTATGTGACAACTATGGCAGATGGAATATGTTGTTACTTAGTGTTAATAAAATTGACAGAAGTATAATATATGAGATGTCAGTGTCAAGATTTTAATCTCTGGTGTGGGAAGTCTAAGGCCGGCCATTCATCCCCGCACTCTGAGTGTGGAAATGTGAATAGACTATCCATGAGAGAAAATACTTGTGCTCAATACAGACGCCTACAAATATACCGCAGTCGAAAAGTCATCGTAGCTCATTGAGTATCACATTTACTCCATCAAACACACACCATCTGAGTGGTTTTTGTTACCATTCATATTTAGTACGTGTATATAATTTCTCATAGTTTATTGCAAAGATATTTTAAAGTAGAGAGATATATTGGAAAAAAGATCGATCTCCACTGATGCCCACTTGTTGAATTTGTTGGAAAAAGCAGGGCACCAGATGGTGATTTTTTCGCACTAAATTTGACGAGGGTTATGTAATAGTTCATACTTTGGTTCATTCATGTGGAGGACAATGTCGAGAGGTACGTGTCTTAGTGTCTAATCACCTTTAGGACAATTAGTTAAGAATTAATACTTAACAGAAGCTTCTTTATGGTCGCCTAATTGGAATCCCATTAAGCTTTAACTTTTTCTATCTATTTATTTTATCATTATTATTTTCTCTATTTTACTTCTTCTGCGACTCACAAGAAGTCTATGCAATCAAATAAAAATAATGACTTATTTGTAAGCATATGTATAAAATATTCTTACAAATAAGTCACTATTTATAAATGATGTGACTTATGAAGTAAATAGATGATTTAATTAGTTTAATAAATATTATTGTAGAAGGCTAATTATAAAGATATCTTATTTCATTTCCGTCTTATAATATTGTAAAAATCATGAAATTCAAGATGTTGAATAATCAATATGATCTTATAATTAACTTTATCCAATATTATATTTACATTATTGAGATCCTCGAATCGCACCAATATTTCAATCAAAAGTAAAGTGAAAAAGAAAAAAAGGCATATGAAATACCTTTAAATTTGCAAAAACAGAAGAAAAATTGCAAAAAGAAATGTGAGATACCCGTGGTCCATGTCCATCGCACCAATGCTAGTCTTGCTCCCTATTGTGCGTCACAATCATGACGTCACTATGATGATGTCGCAAACCTGGTCACCATGAGGCATGCTTCATCAACGACGTTCGAGTTTTCAACCTTTGCAGACAAAAGCGCGTCCTGGTTATAAGGGGAAGAAAATCTTCAGTAAACTTTTTCTGACTTTTATGAAATTGTGTCATAATATTTAGGCGTTTGTCTCTTTCTTCATGTGACATAATTACGCGAATGAAAATATAGAAGACAAAAGCAATTACGAGACAGGTTCACAAACATTTTTTCTTCATAGTTTAGGTAGGCGAAACACGTCTGATCTTAGAATTTCTAGAACGTTTAATTTCAACAATAAAATCATTTAATCACTTACTATGTGTTAAATGAGTTGGCAGGGGTTCGAAATTCGTTGGAAGCACTTTGTGATCAGAGATAAGTTGAATTTCGAGCGGGAATTAATCCTACCCTTTGGTATGAGAACACCGCGTAATATTTCTAGTTAAGGACAAACCGAATCTCGAGTGAGAATTAATCTCACCCTTTGAGTGTAAAGATACCTCGTAATATTTACCCCCAAAAAAAAAAGAAGTTGGAGGGCTTTTTTTTTGGGGCATATATCAATTTGTGGTTGCGTATGACGATTTGATTTTATATGCTTGTGAACAAGACACGAGACACTTTACAGTCATGGACGTCACACCCCACTGATATGTGCTTTTGATATATTATTTTCTCAAAAGAAATATAACTGTATGATATGATATGATATTATTTAGAACTAAAATAATAGCGTTCAAAAGAAAATTTATAGAATTATTTTAATCAAGTCTTTGTATATTTACCTAAAACTCCTCATCACAAAAGTAGAATTGACCCATCAGAATCCACCTTGTCAGCATCTATTTTGGCTTGCTCGGAAGCACCCCACCTATATATATGAGGTAGGTAGCTTCTGTCATACAGCAACCAAGGAAATGGCAGATATGGAGGAAGTGGTTGTTGAAGCAAATTGCAGGCCAGAAGAAACTAGGGCAACCCATTTCTTTAGAAGCTCATCAAATCACTATGCTCAAGTCATTCCCATCACAACCAGTCCTCCTCCCACAAGGGAAGAAGATGGTGCAGATTGGGGATGTGGAGAGCTCAATCCACAGGATGCTTGGCTGCCTATCACAGAGTCCAGGAATGGGAATACCATTTCTGCTACCTTCCATTTGATCTCTTCAGGAATTGGAATTCAAGCCCTTTTATTGCCTCTTGCATTTGCCACTCTTGGATGGTAAGTAATATTAACTTATCTAGATTAAAAACTTTTACTTTTTTACCTAACCTAGCCTGTACCGTTTGTTTGAAGACATTTGTGTTTTTGATGGTTTAAAACCATTAAAACCAGGAGCTGGTGTTGTTGGTGCTGATGGAGTTTATGCTCCCAATATTTACCATACTTCTTTGATAAGAAACGAAACAGAAACAAAAACAAAAGAGAAAAAGAAGAAGAGATTCCTGGAAGGACCTAGGTGTACTTCCAAGTCAACTTTCTTTTATGTTTTATTTTTTTCCTTCTTATTTTGCTTGACAACTTTCTTTTTCTCAAATTTATTTCTTAATTAGATGGTTTGAAATAGACGGCATAAGTCTCATAACTCGTCCGTCAAATAAGCTTATTTGAGAGATATTCTTCGGTATAATATAAACTTTAATTTATGCACCCATTAATTACAATTCCACATGGACTCGATATACTATATATTGTTTCCTCAAGAAATGGGCAAAAATATAATTCAGTACTAATTGCACATGAAACATCTCTGCTCTGTTTCTTGATTTCTTCTTGAACTAAGGTAGTTAGTTACTGCTCCATGCGAAACCTGTCTGCCCCTAAAATCTTGGAACAAGTTTAGGCTGATGATCATAAAATGGTCTGAATACTCACCTCACCTGGTCTTTTAAAAGCATATGCAATGATTTTATATCAAATATCCTCACATATATGGTCAACTCCTGACGTGAACTTCTCATGCACTAATTTTGAGCAATAAAATATTCCAAGTGCCAACCAACTCTGGCAGGCCAAATCTGTACGATTGATTTTGTACAAATAACAATTAATCACAACACATGTTTGAATACAACTATAGACCAATAGGAGCTAAACTAGCAAATATGTTTATAACTCAAAAATATTCCTGGTCCTTGTTCTAATTTGCATAACAACTTTCAATGGTTGCAGGGCATGGGGAATCATATGTTTGTCACTAGCATTTACATGGCAGCTCTACACCACATGGCTTCTCGTCCATCTACACGAATCCGAATCTGGAATTCGATATAGCAGATACCTCCACCTTGCAGTAACGGCCTTCGGTTAGTACGAGAATTCTTCTTCAGAACCAAACACCCTTCAGAAATGGCTAGCACTGTATTAACTAAATTTGTTCTCTTTGTTTTGTTCAGGTTTAAAATTAGGGAAGTTGCTCACTATCTTCCCGGTAATGTACCAATCAGGGGGCACATGTGTCCAGTTGATCATCATAGGAGGTGGAATCATGGAGCTTTTCTTCAAAAATGTTTGTGATGTCAAGTCATTGACTGGTACAGAGTGCTTCTTGGTGTTCATGTGCATGGCTATTGTTGTGGCTCAGTTTCCCAACTTGAACTCCATAGCTTGGGTCTCATTCATTGGTGCCATCACAGCCGTTGGATATTGTACTCTGATTTGGGCCCTTTCAATTGGCAAGGGCAGGCCCAGTGACATATCATACAACCCACCAGAGATGGATTCTAACATGGATAGATTTGGTGGCATAATGAATTCAATTGGCATCATTTTCATTGCATTCAGAGGTCATAATGTTATGCTTGAGATTCAGGTGAGTGTAACTTTTCCACTAACAGAAAATCTAACTTCAAAGGAAGGTCTTGTAAATTTTTGGTGTCATTTTGTGATGCAGGGTACATTGCCATCAAGTTCCAAACACCCATCCCATAAACAAATGTGGAGAGGAGTGACTATATCTTATGCACTTATAGCCATGTGTTTGCTTCCTCTTGCCATAGCTGGATTTTGGGCTTACGGAAACAAGGTGAGGCCAATGATTTTCTCATGTAAATATATCAAACTTAGGCAGACAAATTATCTAAGATGTATTCGTATGGAAAAATATTGAGCTCAGTTTCAAAGTTCCATGGACATAAAACCTCAACATTTGTGCTGGGACTAATTTGCATAATTGTAGTGATAAACTGCTTGAGCACATTCCAAATCTACAGCATGGTAGTCTTTGACAACTTGGAGTTCAAGTATACCAGCAGGAAGAGCAAGCCATGCGCCCGGTGGCTTCGAATGGTTTTTCGTTTTCTCTTTGGAGGAGTGGCATTTTTCGCAGCAGTGGCTCTTCCATTCTTACCAAGCTTGGCACCTCTGATTGGAGGGATGACATTGCCTTTGGCTTATGCTTATCCATGTTTCATGTGGATCGCAATCAAGAAACCACAGCCACGAAGTGGAAAGTGGTGCATAAACATGGGACTTGGATGCTTGGGCCTCGTTTTGAGTGTTGTTTTAGTTGTTGCAGCAATTTGGAATTTAACTGATAAAGGTCTAAATGCCAACTTCTTCAAACCTTAGTCACATCATGTTCAGCTGCTTCTTTTTCTTTGTAGGTGTAAATAATTTTGTTGCTCTTAAATTAGTGAAACTAGTCTCTTGGCACACGAGTATGCATGTACCTATTGGGTTTGTTCTTATTTTTATTTATATATATTAATAATTCAATTTAAAATTAAGAAAGAGAAAATAGACAACCCGAACTAGACCACCACCATATAATTGCCTAATAATTCAAAATCTTAGTGCGCTGATTAGGACTCGAACTCTAGCCTACATGTAAGAATAAAGCCCAAATACCATTAGATTGATTCTTCTTCTTGTGTAATATGGGACTCAATGCTCGCCGAAACCAAACCGCACCGCACCGATTGAAGTCGATCTCTCATCTAGTCAGTGTCAGTGCAGCGGTGATCTTCGGAAACAATGTCGACGACATCTGGTTTGCATGTACAATTAAAAGAAAAACAAATATGAACGGCTCAGATTTTAACTAAACACTATCCCATTTGTTTGCGGATTGAACTTCTTGGGAATAAACTTTCCAAGTCTAATCTTATGAGATGGGAATGGAGGATGTCTATTCCCATGTTTGGGAACGCTTGGAAATAAGAACTAAGCATTGTCATTTTCTCATATTCTCATGTTTGGTTTGTGCAGTATTATGAATGAAAAGTTGATTGGTTTTCCAACAATATCCTTAATTTTTTATTATTATAATTTATTAATATATAAACAGTTTTTCAAGGGTCAAAAGTGGTATTTTAAAATAATAACATGCATAAGTTAGTCCAAAAAAATTGCATTAAATGCTTCTTCAAGTGGGGGGAAAAAGTTTTCTAAAGTGAGCCAAGGGTATGAACTTTCCCTCTACATGGGAAGTCCATACCCATCCATAATTATATTCCCAAAAATACACTTATCAAACATAAAAATGCAATTTAAAATTCATTTCTAAGCACCTAAATCTTGAACCAAAATTGACCAAAAAAAAAAAAAAAGGGCCATTTTGTAGCTTTGCTATAAGTTTTATTATTTGTTTTATTACATTTGATATCACCAAAGGCTTGAAATTTGACCAACTCAGCCGTACTTTAAAAAATTGAAATACCCCTAATGCATGTGTAAAGGTTGGCACCAAAGGTTTTTTCATTTTATTTTATTTATGGGTTCTCGTCAATTTTTTGGCCTCCTGCAATAAAGCATTTAATAATAGTCCACTTGTTATAAAACAATGAACTGCAGACTATATATATATACTAGCGGGGGAATTGATGCAGGTATTGTGGAACTGAAGATCCAACATCAGACTTACATCAGTCTCATGATCTTAGAAACAATTTATAAAATTTATATTAAAAAAAATAAAAATTACCCTTTTGGTTAATTAATCAAAACACAATTAACATGTTTTCATTTAAATAAAAACACAATTAACAACCCCAATAAATTAATTAAACAGCTATATAGATATCATCAGCCAATACATCATGCTCATCAGCCAGCAGAATAAACAATTGGCCCCAACTGCTGGAGATGATGCAAGCCAGTCAACAACTAGTACTAAAATTGCCATACAGCCAGCCAGCAAGTCAAGTTACACTACTATATAAAAATACTACAATTAAAGTACCCGCAAAGCCATCAAATGTGGGTTAGGCAAAGGCTTGTATTTTAGTTTTACAGAGCTCAAGGACATAGCAGCTGCCATGGAAGAAGGGTTTGGTGAAGCAAATTGGAGCACAGATAGGGTTCATTCATTGAGCAGAAGGTCAGAATCTGCTCAAGTCATCCCCATCACAACAAGTAATCCCACAAGTGAAGAAGATGGTGCTGATTATATTGCATCATCAGCTGCAGATTGGGGAGGTGGAGAGCTCAATCCACAGGATGCTTGGCTTCCCCTCACAGAGTCCAGGAATGGGAATACCATTTCTGCTACCTTTCATTTGCTCTGCTCAGGAATTGGAATCCAAGCCCTTTTACTGCCTGTTGCTCTTGCCACTCTTGGATGGTAAGTCATGTTGACTCTCTCAGCTTGAATACTCATACATAATTTCTAGTTCACATTAGCTTCATCAGTAAATGTTCTCTTGTCAATCTGTCTATTTTTGTCAGAATGCGTGGTTTATATTTATTGCGACGAAAATATTTGTCCCAAGATACAAGTCTGGCGAGAAATAGTACTATGTACATGTTTTTCATGGTATAAAGCCAGTTGCTGGTCTTGATGATCTTGCTGGAGTTTTTGAGGAGGAGAACCTAGGATGCCCAAGTCAGCTTTCTCTTGTAAATTGCAAGTTCTTTATGAGAGTTGGAATCTGAAGTACATATACATTAAAAATAAAAATAAAAAGATAAAGCTTTCTTTCTGTGTGCCCATTTAATATTTCACTCATCTTTATAAATAAAACATGAAAAATTTCTCAAGTGATGAACACCTTCATAATTGAGTAGTTTCACTTAATTTCTACTTGAATTAGATTTTGCTTCCTGTGAACTCTGTCTGTCTCTAACATTGGCCCAAAGTCTTAGTCAGGCTATTCATTCATATAATAAATGCTCTAAATATCCACTTTAGATTATTACAGAGGACAGACAAAAATTTCAATATCAGATCCCACAAGGTTAAAAGAGGACAAAAATTTCAGTTGCAGTACTTTGTCAACAACTCTGTACCAAGCAAAAGAAAATTTGACTGCAGAGGTGTCCAAACTTACAAGATTCCATATGCATGCATGCAAATAAGTTCTGTTGATTTAATTTCCATGAACAATTTTCAATGGTTGCAGGGCATGGGGAATCATATGCTTGTCACTGGCATTTTCATGGCAGCTATACACCATATGGCTACTCGTACATCTACACGAATCCAACTCCAGAACTCGGTATAGCAGATACCTCGACCTCGCAATGATAGCCTTTGGTTAGTATAGCGCATATTAATCACAAATGTGATACAAATAGTTTTATTAAATGACTAATAACGTATTAATTATACATGCTTTTTCTTTGTTTTTCTTTTCAGGTCAAAAGCTAGGGAAGCTTTCATCTCTAGTCCCAGTAATGTATCTGTCAGCTGGTACATGTGTGCAGCTAATTATCATAGGAGGTGGAACCCTAAAGCTTTTCATCACAACTGTGTGCAAGGATGGAGCAACTTGTGATGCCAAGTCATTGACCACTGTAGAATGTTTCTTGGTGTTCATGATCATGGCTGTTGTTGTGGCTCAATTTCCCAACTTGAACTCCCTAGCTTGGGTTTCTTTGATTGGCTCCATCACAGCAATTGCATATTGTACTATGATTTGGGCCCTTTCAATTGGCAAGGGCAGGTCCGGTGACATTTCATATGACCCTCCAGAGATGGAGTCTAATATGGACAGATTTGGGGGGATTTTGAATTCTCTTGGTATCATTGTTCTTGCATTCAGAGGCCACAATGTTATCCTTGAGATACAGGTCAGTCTTGCTTCTTTTTTTTTACACAAGAGATATTGAGGAGAGAGGATTCGGACACAAACAATATTTGTTTTTTTTTCTTTTTGGCAATGCAAGGAACTTCTATTTGCACCCAGAGTTTGATCTCCACACCATGGTTGCAATGAACTGATCTTGTTGGGTGTGGTGGAGAATGGATATCAAATTCTAGGGTTTAACTAAAATCCCTAATTATTGGTATTTGATAGCTCAATTTTACTATTACTAGAAAGGGTGAAGTTTTATACTAATGTGCAGGGGACATTACCATTAAGTGCAAAGCACCCAACCCACAAGCCAATGTGGAGAGGAGTGGCCATATCATATCTACTCATAGCCATGTGTTTGTTTCCTCTGGCCATAGCTGGATTTTGGGCTTATGGAAACAAGGTGAGACCAATTTAATTTTCCTTCTGTTCAACATTGAAAGCTAGCTCAAACTAAACTCTTCTGATTTATCCAGGTACCCTCATCAAATGGAGGGCTTTTGATCGCGATTTCGAAGTTCCACGGGCATGACACACCAAGAATTGTGCTGGGACTAATGTTCATACTTGTGATCATAAACTGCCTAAGTACATTCCAAATCTACGGCATGGTGATTTTCGACAAACTAGAGTCGAACTACACTAGCAAGAAGAAGAAGCCATGTGCAAGGTGGCTTCGAATGGCTTTTCGCGTGTTCTTTGGAGGGATTGCATTCTTTGTAGCAGTGGCTTTTCCATTCTTGGGAAGCTTGGCACCCCTAATTGGAGGGTTGACATTGCCTCTGGCATATGCTTATCCATGCTTCATGTGGATTGCAATCAAGAAACCAAAGCCAAAAGGTGTCATGTGGTGTGCCAACATGGGACTCGGATGCTTAGGCCTGGTTTTGAGTGCTCTTTTAGTTGTTGCAGCAGCATGGAACTTGGCTAGCAAAGGCCTGCATGCCAACTTCTTCAAACCTTAATTAGTTGTATTTTTCATAGAAACGAAAAAAAACATGTATATTTAAATTAAGCTAGTTAAGTGACAAGTACTTGTTAAACTTTTGTTAGATTCAGTAAACATCAGCTGGTAGATTTGTTAACTGAGCGGTAAATTCACGGAGGTGCCTGTGGATGCTAGCGGTGCTCAGCTCTAGAAACTTTTGATGTCACGAAAACAAGGCGAAAGCCGATACAAATTGCCATATGATAGTGAAGCTGAGGTGACTGGAGCAAGGGATGCAGTTTGCCCAAAGATACATCATATTAAACCTAACATTAACAATAAATCCAAAAATAAAAAAATAAATCCAAAATAAAATGATTGAAATACAGAATTATGTGACAGTTTATACATAATTTTGTTGTCCGAGTGAATATTGTTACCTTACCTTCTCTCGAACCCAAAATGATTTGATATTTTTTTGGATTTGGATCAAAACATAAAGTTATGTGTCTTTAGTGGGCCAGAAAATCCAAACCCAAATATGATTTTTCTCCAAAATCCAAACCCAGATTAGGTTTGAGTACTCAAACCCAACGACAAGCTGCATCTAACGGTCCAAATTTAAAATTTTGAAGCAATCAACGGTCTAGATGTCTTTGAACCAAAAGGCAATTTTTTTATTTTTATTTTCAAAAAATCCTGCCAGCCGTTGCTGAAATTTATGTCATGAAATAGAATTACTAATGGTTTATTACACTGCAAGATTCTCAAATAAATTAAGTCCAAAATTATAAACATAAAATAAAACCAATTTTGTCCAACAAAATAATGAAGCAAGAAAAAAAAAAAAATTAAAACCAAAATTTGAGTTTGAGTCCAACCATCTCCAATGGGGATTTATACTCAAATTCAAATCATGCCCGCCTTTTTGAACATGAGTTCGATAATCTTCCTTATACATTTGAATAGTTTATAATATTGCATTTGACATTGAAGATGACCTTACAGAACTGAAACGTGTTGTCTCAACACGGTGCCACTTGTCATCAGTCTCATGCTCAACCATGCTCCTTGAATTGATCCCTCCCTCCACTCTTTTGCGGTATGCATCGATTCTCCAGATGAAACTTTAAACCTCCTCTCTTCTTCTTCATCTGAGAACTCCATTCATCGACATAGATTTGAGCAATGGCGGTTTTGGGCCAACCTTTTTAAGCATTAACGTTAGCAGAGACAGAGAGGCTTCACCCGTTGTTATGGTTTTTCTCTCAACCAAATTCTAATTGTTTCTTGTTGGTTAAATCTTTTTTTCCCCCCATCAATTAAGACACGAAAATAACTAATTAAACCGCTCATTATGGTGGAATTCAATGGTTCAATATCGATCATTACAGATATGACGTAAAACCCATTATTATGTATATATATATATATATCATCATCATCATGATGTCAGCCTTGCTGTGCAAGCCAAGCCTTCAACCTCCCTTTCCCTTCAAGCATTCAACATCTTCATCCCAAGCTTTTAAGTTTGTCTGGAGTTCTTTCAAGTTGTGGGTTTCTAAAGTGGTAATTACTAATTTCAAACTCCATTTAAGATTTTTTTTTTTTTTCGGTTTTTTGCAAACCCTTCAGATTAATTCTTTTATTGACTTTGTGACTTTTGAAAAGGCAGATTTCTTGTTTTTATCTCACTTTTTAATTTCTTTGGTTTTCTTTTTGCGGTCGCACCTGAATTTGTCTTCGTTCCCAGTTGTTCTTTAACATTCTTTGTGGAAAACCAACAAGTTTTCTACCCTTTTGTTTCTGCTGCATACTTGACAAAATAAAAAAATAAAACTGCCCATACACTTTTCAATCATATGAAATGACTTCTAGTTTTCACATCTGAAACATTCCCACCATCAAAGTCAACAAATAGTGCTAAAAAAAAACTAGAATTGCATTCATTTTTTGTTTAATTAGTTGAAAGAAAGAAAAAAACCCCCAACATAGCAATTTTAAGCAAATGGCAGACTTGGAGGAAGTGGATCTTGGAACAAAATCCAGGCCAGATTTGTCCCAGGAGCCTTCTTTTAGCAATTTCATTAGAAATTCGTCGTCAGAGTCTGCCCAAGTCATCCCCATCACAATTAGTCCCCCAGAGAAAGAAACCATCACACCAACAGATTGGGCAGGTGGTGAGCTCAATCCACAGGATGCTTGGCTCCCCATCACAGAGTCTAGAAAAGGCAGCACATATTCTGCTGTATATCATATACTTGCTTCAGGCATTGGACTTCAAGCCCTTCTCCTTGCTGTTGCATTTTCCACTTTTGGATGGTAAGCAATAAGTCTTTCTCTGATATATATATATATATAATTGATCAAGAAAAATTTGAGAAAGAGTTCGGCATTTGTGGTTTTTTGATGGCTTTGATTGCATATCTGCACCAAGTTTCATATACAATAACAATTTTCAATGGTTGCAGGGTATATGGAACCATATTCTTGTCACTAGCATTCTCATGGCAGCTCTACACCCTATGGCTCCTCGTACAGCTGCATGAATCTGAATCTGGAACTCGGTATAGTCGATACGTGCACCTTGCAGTGACTGCCTTTGGTTGATACCACAAGCCCTTCTTTTTTCTACATCAAACCGGATGGCTGAAAATCTATTAACTATATATATGTTCTTTTCTTTGTTTCAGGTCCAAAGCTAGGAAAGTTGCTAACTATATTCCCTGTGATGTATCTATCAGGGGGTATGTGTGTGCAGCTAATTATCATAGGAGGTGGAACCATACAGCTTTTGATCAGAACAGTGTGCAAGGATGGGGCAATCTGCAATGCCAAGCCATTGACTGGTACAGAATGCTATTTGGTGTTCATGTGTATGGCTATTGTTGTGGCTCAGTGCTTTCCCAACTTGAACTCCATTGCTAGAGTCTCATTGATTGGAACCATCACAGCCATTGTATATTGTACCATGATTTGGGCACTTTCGATTGGCAAGGGCAGGCCCCGTGACATATCGTACAATCCTCTTCCGCTGGAGTCTACCATCGCTACATACGGCGGTATACTGAATGCACTTGGTATAATTTTTCTTGCATTCAGAGGTCACAATGTCATCCTTGAGATTCAGGTTAGTGTTGCTAATTTCCATTAAAAGTTGTCCAATTTTGCTGCCAAAACATGTACACTCTTTTTGATACATAGCTTATACTTTGGTTTGATCTTGTAATGTGTGGCAGGGGACATTGCCATCAAGTCCAAAACACCCTTCTCATAAGAGAATGTGGAGTGGAGTTTCAATGTCTTATGTGCTCATAGCCATGTGTTTGTTTCCTCTGGCCATAGGTGGATATTGGGCTTATGGAAACAAGGTGAGAGCAATTCCTTTTGTTTTTTCTTCAAAACAAATTTCTCAAATGATTCAAACTTAAACTAACAGAACATGTACTGGTTTATGCAGGAACCCTTTAGTAATGGAGCTATACTAAAAGCAATTTCACAATTCCATGGACATAACACATCACAATATGTGCTAGGACTAATTTACATAATAATTGTGATTAACTGCTTAACGACATACCAAATATACGGCATGGTAGTTTTCGACAACATGGAGATACGGTACACCAGTAGAAAGAAAGAGAGATGCCCGAGATGGCTACGCATAGTTATTCGCCTTTTGTTCGGAGGATTGACATTCTTTATAGCAGTGGCATTTCCATTTCTAGGAAGCCTATCACCTCTAATTGGAGGGTTCACATCAGTACCCTTGACATATGCTTATCCATGTTTCATGTGGATTGCAATTAAGAAACCACGTCTACATGGTGGAATGTGGTGTACCAACGTTGCACTCGGATGCTTTGGCCTGTTTTTGAGCCTTCTTTTTGTTGCTGCAGCAGCTTGGAATTTAGCTGTCAATGGCCTAAATGCCAACTTCTTCAAGCCTTAATCACTATTAATTTCCAAACAAAATGGAAAAATATTTTGAAACCCCAAGACCAAATTATGTATCAAGGATAAGTTAATGATTGTGATCAAGCAATTGGGATAGACTTTCAGAACTTCTTTACATCATACATGCAATAAGCTCTTTCTCAAAGAATAAATTCCAAAATTGAGAATTTCTGATTAGTATTTCAATAATAACCAAAATAAGAGTAATGCAGGAAGCTTCAAATATTTATTTATTTCTTCTTATTTTCCCCTTGGATTTCAGACAAGTTTAAGAAAACCAAGATACACTTTGATTGGAGGGTTAATGCATTTTCAACTCGAAAACAGTTCTGCAATGTACTTTGAGTGATTAAACTAAGATTAACAAATTACATATGACTATTATATTCACAAAAAGTTAAACTCCCAACGCAAGCACCGACCAAACACATACATGTGATTATGTTAAGCGTACAATTAAGCACTTTCAAGCTCCTAATCTCAAAACCTTGCACGTAGGCAACAGCACTGAAGCTCTTGATAGTTGCAGACTCTGCACACCGTCCACACCGACTCTTTTAGTTTTCTCCTCCCAATGGTTAGAGACCACGTAAACCCCCTCCAACGCAAACGGTACTTTTTTCTGGTTTTTTTTATAACTTCAGTGCCTTTGTACATCTCATAGTTGCTCAAAAAGCTTTAGTTGGGTACAAAAAATTCTCTATAAATAGCAACACTTCTGCCTCTTAAACCATCAGTGAATATCAGTTTTTTATTACAAGCATTAACATCAAATATTGTTCAAAGCTTTCATTCTGTTTTCGATTTGATTACACTCTTGTGTTTGCTAGCATTAGCAGTATGGCAGATCATTACCCAAAAGAGACCAAGGAGAGTCAGAGTCCCACCAAGGTAGGAGAGGAAGGTCAAGGTTGTGGGATGTTTGATTTCTTGAAGAAGGAAAATGAGAAGCCCCACCAGGAGCAGGAGCAACATAAGCACACTCTTGCCGAAAAGCTCCACCACCATGGTGGCGACTCTAGCTCGGTGAGCTATCATTGATTTGTTTATCACAGAATTAGTCTCAAAATGGATCAAAAAGTGTTTGATGCATCAAGTAAATATTTTTTTCTTTTCCTTTTCTGACAAAATTTTGTTGCTTGAAAAATTTTCCAGTCCAGCAGTGACGAAGAAGGTGGAGAGAAGAAGAAGGGACTGAAGGGCAAGATCAAGGAGAAGAAATCAGGCAAAAAGGAAGAGGGAGATGCTTACCACTCATCAGTTCCAGTCGAGAAAACCCATGATATCGAAAATGGAGCACCGCATGCAGATGATAAGAAGGGCTTTATAGAGAAAATCAAAGAAAAGCTTCCTGGACAACACAAGGAGGCTGAACATGGTGCTCAAGCAGAGTATCATGCTGTGGATGGCCATTCCCATGAAGCTGAGCCTAAAAAGGGAATCTTGGAGAAGATCAAAGACAAGCTCCCTGGAGGTCACAAGAATGAAGAGGAGAAGCCAAAGGAGTATTAGCATCCATGATGCAACCAATAAAACATTTAGATGTTAACGGTGGTGGCCTTTGATGTTTGCTTGCAATGTAATTTGTTTAGGTTCCTCTGTACTTGTGTAAGTTTTTGCTTGTAATGTGTTTGGTTTACGGTCCTCTGTGTTTGTAAAAGTGTTTGCTTGTAATGTCACTTGTGTTTTGTTCATGGTCTCCTTTGTACTTGTAGAGGTGCTTCATGTGCTTTTTTCAAGCATTCAGTTCAACTCCAGCCTGCAAGTCGTCTCTTTCCTATAGCTGCAAATGCTTTAGCTCAAATCCGAATTCAAAAAGCAGTCGAAAACATTTCACCCCACATTTTCATCCACCAAACAGAAAGAGATACATCCTACATTCATTCACCAATACATCTCATATGTTCAATGAACAAATTGACCGACCGCAACGCATTTTACAGAAGGATTCTAAATAAATTAATGAAAGGCAACAAAAACTTGTTCTCTTCCATAATCTATTTTTACAACTACTGAAATTTTACATTGCAAATGAAAGGAAATCTACTGAGGCTTAAGCCACTTTCAAAACTTTTGTATATAGAATTTGCAGGCTGATAGAGAACAAGATAACTTAAGCAGTTAAAATGGTACAATGGTACAATTAATCCACACCGAGATTCCCCAAAAATTACTGATCATAAACAGAGGTATCTCATTCATTCATAGACACAAGAATTTGTCAAATTAGAGTGCTTGCCTAGATTGCTGCCTCTAAGAGTGACAGAGCATCTGATTCTCTCATAAAACTTGGACTTCACTAGTTTTCCCAGAATGTAGGCTCTTGACCTCACAACGAACGTCAGATTCAGCGGCACGGCCACTCTCTGTCTCTGGCGATTTTCGCTAACATCTTGAACAACTGAAACTCCACCATAAAGAGCCACTTGGGACCCTAGCACCACTGTCCTTATTGTCCGATGCGTCTTCCTTGCTTGGTAAAAGTTTTCAATCTGTTTTATTTTTCATGAGCATAAAATCTTTAGATAAAATTCATCAAAAAAAGAAAAGGTAACAAGGGCTAGCAAATTCTCTATAAACTGACCAAAAACTGCTTAAAGCCGGGCAGTGTTCTTGCCATCAGTTCCAAGTGCATTGCCACTTCCCAAAAACCAAAATAAAATAAAACTACAGGGGTCTGTTTTACAAATCCTAAACTACAAGAAGACTTAATTTTTGAGATAAGAAAGAATTTAGAAAGTTGGAATCAAAAGACTGGCCCAGCTACCCATCTTTTGCTGGGTTTTTTTTACCCATTAAAGAGATAGGAACAGGATTCTCCCCATTGGGACCCATCAAGCTTTCAAATCTCCTAACTATTTTCTTTGTTTTTGATTTCAACTGCATCTCCCAAAAGAAGAATTTGAAATGATCATCGAAGCTAATCTCGCCTAATCCTTTATCATTTATTATAAAAATAAATTAAATAAATAATCTTTCCGTGCGTAAATTGATGGGGACCAAAATGTTGCAGAAAAACTGAATGTGCCATTGACCATGTTTACAGGTTTTGCTGAAAATGTGATATAAATTGGTGCAGGCAGATAGTGTTATTGTTTTGTTTACAAAATAAAAAAGTTGAGCATCCCAACAGAGATGTTTGTATTGTGGTTGGGTTTCAGGCTTGGCAGAAGAGCTTTTTCAGGTCCCCCAATAAAGGAGAGAAACTTGCCAAGAAAGAGGACCCATCAAAATTTGAGGTCAAACTTCCATCTGCCCTCACGCCTCCCAACATCCGCCGTTTGTCCCCACCCCCACCCCCAACCAAAACAAAACCATATGTTATAACTAACAAACCCACATTAACGTTGGAGCAACATTATCCATACAACTCAAAATTACCAGATTACCCATGGCCTAACATGCATCTTCTTACTGAACGATGTCAGAATGGTCATTACGCACCTGTCCGGACGCCACTTTGAGCTGGTAGTAGTGAAGCTCCAGCGGCGTCGACGTGACGTGAACGCCGAAGAATGTCGCCGGATTTCTGTAATGAATCCTTACCGTCGAATTCAACGACAGCATATCCGTCGGCACCCCCGTCCTGTCGCTCCCCGCCTGTATTTCAAAACTCTCGAACACAATACTCTTCAAGAAAAAGAAAAAAAACGCCGTCAGTCAACTCAGTCGAGCACCAAGTCAAGGGAAAAAAAAGACAGAGCCTTTACCTTGACGATGACCTGCGGCTCATAAGCCTTGCTGGCGCCCCACAGGATCAGCGAGAACGCCGTGAAGAGTACAACGAACAGCAGCGCGAAGCAGAAGTACAACCTGACGCTGCGGCCGGGGCCTCCTTTCCCGAAAGCGGTGTCATTTTCGTCGTCGTCGTCGTCGGATTCTTCGACCTCATCGCCGCGCTGCAGCTTCCTCCAGGCGGAGAGGCTGCGGGGGTTCTTGAGAGAGGCTGAGAAGCGCGACGTGGAGGACTCGCGCGAGTGGTGAATGGGCGAGCAGTGGTAGAAGTGGTGCGCCGGAGACCCGGCCGGGCTCGAGCCGTACGACATCTTCTCCACGTCGTGGTTCGACGGGCTCTGCACGTAGTAAATCGGCCTGCGCGGAGATCGCGGCGGCGTCGACTGCTCCACGCTCGTCACCTCCGAATCCGACTTCGCGTGCATTGTCGTTTTCGATGGTGGTGGGTTTCTTTTTTTTTTTCTTTTTTTCTTTTTGTAATTTCGAGCCCAGTTTGGGGGCTAAAATGAAATGAGACAGAGGGTCGTCTTCTTTTTCTTCAAGTTTTGTTTCGACGGGGAGAAGAGAAGCTCTCTGCGGTTTCTTTCGTTGTTTGTTGTTGAAGGAGGAAGAGAAGCTGCGCACTGCGTATTGTGCACGCCCTTTTATGTTCGTTCTCTATGCGCCGTTGGATTTGATCGGACGGTCGAAGTTTGATGCACGTAGTTTAAGGATGCTGCTTGGTGATGGAATTCATAAATGCCATGGAGAAGAGTACAGTGGGAATGTGGATTGGTAAGGTGACAGAATGAGGAAATGTCCCTCCCTAATTAACCCCTTGTTTTCTGCTAATTAATTAACCCCTCCTAACCTAATCCCGTTGTTACCAAAAAGAGAAATTAATTAATCTGCTTTCCTAAAGAGGATTTAATTACCCCAAGTTAATTGAACCACAAAATCTTTACCAAACCAAGGGGTTGTTGAGTTGGAATTTAGTGTTGGGTTTTAGTTTTGTTCTTTGGTCATTGTAGGCAATCCAGAATATTAATTATACACTCTTCTTTATTTTTTAAAATTTAATAATCACATTTTCATATAGAGTTGTTATTCAAAATCGCATCGGTCAAATAAGTTAGAAAAAAGTAAATAAAAAAGAAATGTATAATTACTATTTAGGAGTGTCAAAGCAGTCAAAGCAGAGAATTCAAATACGTGTCAATAACGATTTCCTTCGAAAACTATGAATTTATACAATGGAATGTGAGTTGTGGGTGAAAATGAAAACAATGGACGAAATAGATCCTCTGGGATATCACCGAAAGAGAAAAGATACACCAACTAAATCTTTGTTTAATTTATTTTCCTTTTTAATATTAAAAAAAATATCGTTCAGCATAAAAAGGACAGAGAAAAGTTGATGCATAGATTTTTTTTCCTTTTACCTTTATGATAAAAAGGCGATAGAATTTTTCTTTACCTTTATTAGAAGAAAGGTGACGATCGAACTGTTGTATATTATAAAGTTCATTTCTTCAAACCCTATATGCCCTCACATTAGTAGATTAGGTTAATTAATCTTACATGTGATCAAATAGTCAAGATTCATGAGCTTAGCCACGTAATCTCTCATCTATTAGAAATTAGGTATTTCCTCTTGTTTGTTTTTTTGGGTCGAATGATGAAATTTCATTACGAAAAACTCACCCAAAAGGATGAAACAAAGGAAGTACAAATCTAATCTGCAATATCAAATGAACATGAATAACAAACTACCCCAGATAATGATATCAACAGATAAACAAAACTAAAAATTAATTAAAAACAACTAAAAAAACAACATTGCAACAAAAACCACCGAAAAGCAGAAGCACCACCAAACAGCCATCGTAAACCAGCAACACTCAAGGTATTTCCTCTTGTTGTTCACATGTTTCACTAAAATGTTGTCAATGAATTGCCTAGTTATTATTGTATCAAAATAGGAAAGATAGAATAATGATAAGGCTATAGATTTTGGGGTTGGGCCCACTGTATGGAGCCATTGGACCTATTTTCTGTTTTTTTGTGAGCAGGAAAGGCATCTTCCTTCCTCGTTTCAATTCACCTGCATCCTCCTTCCAAATGGCAAAATATTGGTCTCTCTGTGTGTAAATATTGACATTGGACAATCATCATTTGCAAGCTGTCGCTGACTCACTGGGGTTGCCAATTCATCATTTTTTCTTTCTTTTCTTTTAAATTCGTGGCAGGTTTGGTTAGATTTACCCGCATCTACACTAGAAACCAAATACATATGGTACTAAGTCTTTTCCGTATTGAATGTTATTTCAGTATTTGTTTGGCAACTTCAATTTGGTAGAACAATGTGTCCTGAGGCAAATCAGAGCAGCAATCACGGACTCTCTGAATTTGGTGGGTTAATGGTCAAGTCAAGCTACACGGAAGAGTACATGACGAGGCCAAAAACTAAAAAATAATAATAATTGACGGGTTCGCATGTTGGGTATGTGAAAATTATATCTTTGCAGGTTTGAGTACGAATGGCGTTACGTATGATGACTATGATTCAGATAATATGAAGAAATTGAAGAAGCATCATATGATTCAGATGAAATCTATGCTTACTGTGATTCCTATGATTGCTGATAAATATAATATAAATAGATATAGGGAGGTATCTATCTCTTTCTTTTGCTCTATCTTTTGTTATTTCAGTGAACAACGATGATGCTGAACTGGGTATGGATATTGGATGCAAATACAAGTTCAAAACTAGTAAGGGTGAAGGCCATGAAATCAACCATCGTTTGTATAGTATGTATCTGTATGGAAGACATTTCCAACATTCCCCTCAGGTGCTTGTGTGGTGGTTTAATAGTGTCTTTGAAGAAGTTGTAGAGGGAGACAGAACCGGAGATGAAGAAATCTCATCTTCATCCTGTTGCCTTACTTTGGAAGAAATTGAGACCTACGTAGACAACAGACTTGAGAGAGGAGATGAAATTGCACCTGCCCTTATGCAAGCCATCGAGAAATCAGCTTAACACACTGAGAACCAATTAGAAAATGACAAATGACTAGCTTTTGAATTTTTTTCAATCCAAATAGACTCTATACGAGTTTTTATATAATATCTCATGCTAAAATGGTTTCTTAATAAATATCTCTGTATATGATTCTAAGACATGTGAATTTTCCTTCATGTTATATTGATCAACAAATTATGCCATTTGAGCATTTCAAATCAATACACAATAACAAACAAAACCCAATTCTTTTCCTAGTTTCTCAATTGGGCTTCCTCCACACTCTCCGGCCCACTCACATTCTGGGCCTCCTCAAACTCCTTAATCAAATCAGGATCAACATTCTCCTCGGGCTCCCACGTGGCCTCATCTATATCCGTCCATTTCACCAAGTACTCCATCGTCCCTTCATCCCCAACTCTCTTCCCCACCACACCCTCCGCCACGGCGTACTCGAGCCCAGCCTCGAAGTCCCGCACCAGATCCTCATCTATCAACTTCGCGTTGACCCACTCGTTATCTCCACCGTCCTTCCATTTGACCAAATACTCCACGCGATCCCCCTTCCCTCTCTTCTCCAGCAACTCCTGCACCTCCGCGTACTCGAATATTGCCCCCTCAAGCTCTCTAATTACACTCTCCAGCCCCAACCTCCTCGCGAAATGCATCGGGTTCCCCTGCGGCGTCGTTTTAAGTACCTCCTTAGCCAAATCCAACGGCTTCCGTCCCCTATCATCCTCCACCTCGGGGTCCGCACCTAGCTCCACCAACAACTTCACGACACCTGGCCGGACGTACCCTGCCGCCATATGCAACGCTGTCAGTCCCCCGCCGTTATCGCTGTGGTTCAAGTCGGCCCCGGCTTCCGCCAAGACCCGAACGCACTGCTCCGACCCGAGACCCGAGACGAATATGAGAGCCGTGCGGCCGTCTCCGTCCACGGCGTCGACGTCGCGCCAGTCGTCCTCCGCGGCTAGGAGCTGGCTCAGCGCCGACTCGTCGGCTTTCTTGGCGGCGGTCCACCATGGGCTCTCGTACTCCGCCACCACGTCTTTGGCTATGAAATCCGATGGGACCCACGAAGGGGCATGACCGTCTTTCCACGAAATCAAATACTCCATCCCCTTGCCGCCCTCCAGCGCTCTGCTTCCGATGATCCTGTCGACCTCGCCGTACGACTCGTCGTCTGGTTTGTCTTCATTGTCGTCTGAGAACGGAAAAGGTTTCTGGGTTTCAAGGGATTGGCTTTGCTGGTTCTGGATAACGGAGGCGGATGTGAGGTGGGGCTTGGAGGTGGGTTTGAGGCGGTGAAGAGATTGGGAAGGGAAAGGTGTAGTTGTGAGCTTTGGGGCGAGCTTCAGGCCGGAGATGGAGCACTGGTTCACGAAGAGAGCGTCCATGGAGTTTGGTGTTTGGTTAGAGAAGTGGCTGAGCTTCCATTGGCGGGCTCTGACGAGTGTTCTGGAGACCAGAGTGTGTAGGAGAGAGAGATGGGTTACGGATAAGAAATCCCATCCAATCCATTTGTCGTTTGTTTACTTGTTTGTTTGGGAGTGAGAGGGGGGACATTGTTGGTATTTTCAGCTTTTTTCTTGGGCTCCAGTTTTCTACATTTGATTTTTTCTCTCTCTCTCTCTAGTTTTCTTCTATAGTAAAATTCTGGCCACAAATGCATAATGGGCGACACAACAAAATTCGAGTTCAGACCAAAAAATGATGAAGAAACTTGGGACCAAATGCATATTTGGTTTACGTGTTGTTTCTTCATTTGGGCTTTGCATTATTTTCTTGACGCCTATTTGGCCCATTTGTAACCAGGTGCAAGTAGGAAGGCTGGTCTGAGGAAATGGGGAAGCCTAACCGTAACCCGGCAGCAATTCTTGTGTGCGGCTGTCGTATAAAATAGTAGATTAACAAAGGTGATCGTACGGGTGGGGCTAAGTGGGATCAAAGTACAAGTGTTTGCGGTTTGTGTGCGAGTCGTCGCATAACCACGTGGTTCGAGTTGCTAATTACAAGAATTTCTTCTAAAGGGGACACAATTTGTTATGAAATAGATTAGGAAAAAGAGGGAGTTGTGTGTACTCCTAGCTTCGTTAATTGGAGACGACATTATGCCCATAATCACGGCAAAAGTTATGGAAAACAGAAATTAGAGCTCATTTTCTTCGATGTCAATTTCTTGCAAATTGCAAATGATCCTAATTTAATTGTACCAAAACAATGTTGCATGTGTGGATGCCACAAAATCACACGCTTATGAGTCTGAATCCCATAGCGGAATACGCTTCAATATTTATTTTACAATACAATTATGTCTGAAATCGTGATTTATGGTTGCATTTAACAAACAAAAACAAAGAAAAATAAAAACCAAAATATTGCTGTTTTATCAAACTCACATGCGATGAGATGAGAGAGGTTTCTAGGTGGAACAAAAAGTTCCTGTCCCTAATTATCTCCATGCATTAATTTAATGACTTGACTTTCCATGCATTAATATTTTATGTACGTAGACTCTTCATAATTTAATTACTTGCCAGTTCAGCAACAACAAAAAAGTATTGATAATTATGTTTTTTTTCTCCCATATTGTTCTACCCATAGAACTCGTTCATGAGCTTCAATTATTCTCACAGAGATTTTAGAATGAACCAGATTAGACGGTTTGATTAATTTTTCGCCCCTATACTCAAGTCAGACAAACAATTTATCGTTTCGCCCCTGTACTCAAGTTAGACGAAAGATTTATCATTTCAC